TTTGCAGGTCAGAGGGGCCAGGATTGGAGCAGTATGTTGTTCATGCTTTCTCCTGGAATCACCTCTGGTTGTCTGGTTGTTCCTGGGTCTAGGAAAAAGGCAGGGCAGAAGGAAGCACTGCAGCTGAAGTTAAGACCATGAACGATGGTAGCCCCTAGCTTTGCTGCAGCAAGTGACTTCCCTCATTTTACCCATCAGCACCCCCTCCTGCCCCATTTTCAGAAAAGTGTAATGGAAGCATTTCAAATATGAAATTAAAAACCAAATACTATCTTTTAGCCACAGTGAGAATAAGTTCAACAGAAAATATTCAAGTTTACAGTAATTGTACGATTCAGTTTTTTACCTTAAAAACAAGCTGGAATCAATTCAATGTTATGAAAAGCCCAGTATATTTACTTCATAGGAGTCCTGTTGTATTTTTAATTGTATGGCTTTTCTGGATATGTTTACGAGTTTCCACCTGATTTTAACCTATTAACACCATTAAGGAAATGTAAATGGCTGCCATAAGCACTAATTCTGGTTATAAAAAGCATTATATAGTGTTTAATCATTTGTCTGAAAATTTAAATAGGTTTTTTTCTGCTCTCACAGAATTGCTTAAAATCCTTCACCCTCTGGCAAAAGACTCAGGGGGAAGGACGGGAAGTATTAAAAAGAAGTAAAATATTACGCAAGGTAGGAAGACGTTTTACTTTGGGACTGTTCCTTTAAGCAGGCCTACTTATGACTGGAGTTTATCTGACTTTGGGTTAATCACCTGTGGTTACTAGCACCTAGACAAGCCCAGTTACAAATTCATGACAGGTCTGTAGACATTCTGGAAGGTACATGGAATGCAGCAGCATACCCTGAGGAACAGTGTGAAGGAAGACCCACTGGAGCACACAGAAGCTGTACTTAATGCTTTCTGCACCATTACTCTCTTACACAGTAACTGCTTTTGTGTGCTCAGTGGTCTTCCTGGACTGCCACAACTGTGCCCACCTCTGATCAGCACTAGTGCTGTGGGCATTGAACAGGCCATGAGGTTAGCACTTTTTAAGTTAGGAATTCACAATGACCTCTTTTAGAGAATAGTTTTCTCTGTAATTTAAAGGCTTCTGTATTTCATCAAGGCTCACTTCAATAAAATGTGATCACCAATGATCTTATGTTCCTGCTTCTTTGTTTGGCTTGGAGGTAAGCGTTTTCAAAAACACAGAAAGGTGGAGAAAAGGTGATTGCTATCTTTAGGACCAGAAAAGCCTTTTCCATCACTTTCTTCTTGGCAGTGTGGTCTCTGTGCTGACAGGAAGCTATTAGGTTCGCATCTTGTTATCTGACAGTGGGTTAATATGGAAAATACTGTATCATGGAGAATGTAATTCATTGCATTCAAACAGATGCCACTAGTGGAACAGCCTAATGTAGCAAATGCACTAAATATGTTCAAGCATGTTTTTGACACTATTTTCATAAGTGGTGATATATCTTAATTGAAACTTACTAAAATTATGTTTTCTCTTCCAACTGTCATGAAAACATACCAAACCATGTGTTTTTTGTACTCATGATTTAAGAATATAAGATGTATTTTATTTTGAATTTCTACTCTAATTTAGAGCTAGACTTGAAAATATGAGATTTTTTTCCTTCTGAAGGTTAGTTCTCTATGCTAATTCAATTTCCAGATATGTGTCACTTTTCCTTCATTGTTTATATGACCAACAGTACATTTACACTTGAAGATTTATTTAAAACACTTTAAAATTTTTAATTACATTGTTATAGGGAGTAACCTTCCTTCCTTCCTAACCTCTCTCCTTCCCTCCCTCCTTCCTTCCTTCCAACTCATAGAGTAAATAAAGAATCCTTAGGAGTCTTCAAAGAAAATTCCAAATATTTATTTAACCATTGTGTGTTTGTGTTTATTGTATCCTTGCATCATGTACTTTTTTCTTAAACCTTTTCTCTTGTGAAACCCAGCACACTTAGAAAAGTATAAAAAACAGAAATGGTAGCATCCATTTACACAAAGCAACTACCACCCAGGTCAAGAAATAAAAAAATTTTTAAAAATAGCCAACACCCCCCAAACCTTCACCATGCCCTTTATAGTTCACTTTTCCTATTCTCCCTACCCCAGAGTTAACCACCATCTTTACTTTCATGTAAACTTTTTTCATTTTTCTTTAGTCTTACACCTATTCATGTTTCTGGAGCACTATGGCTTAGTTTGCCTTATTGTGTTCTTTGTTTTCTTGATGTGAGTTTTTTTTTAATGCTCATTAATTAAATTATACTGCTGTATATTCTTTGGAGTTCAACGCCTTTCATTCAGAGTTACATTTGTAAGCATCATAATGATTTTCATTGCTGTGTAGCATACCATTGTATGAATTCACCACAAATCACCCATTCTGCTGTTTGGGTCCAGCATGAATAGTGCTGCTATGGACATTCTTTTACATCTCTTGGTAAACATTGCACATGTTTCTGATGGTATGTATGTAGAAGCGGAATTTCGAAACCATAGGATATGTGCATTTTTAACATTTTTTACACTCCCACCAGAGGGATATGATCGTTTCCATCTCTCTGTGTCCTCACCACACTTGGTATTCTTTTAGCCCATCTGTTTGTTGTGTTACCTCATGGTTTTAATTTCCATTTCCATGATTGATAATGAAATTCAAAAAATGCAAGGAAGTCTGTTGAAATTTTTATTGGAATTGCATTTAATCTATTAATCTATAGATCAGTATGGACTAATGTTACAAAACCAGGTCTTCTAAAATATTAACATATGTATTGCACTTTTTAAAAATCTATATAGCACTTTTAAATTTCTCTCAGTAACATTCATTGGTTTTTGCACAGAGGCCTTGCTTATCATTTGTTACATCCATTCCTAGATATTTTATATTTTATGTGATCATAAATGCTAGTTTTAATAAATTGTGTTTTGAAATTTGTTGCTGATGTATAACACTGTACGGAATTTTTAATTTTACTATTGTGTAAACTGCAATTATTCTGTAATTTTGTTCAGATTTCCTATATAGATAATTATGTAATTGATACTCAGTCTTATCTACTCCCCTTCCAAATATGGCACCTTTTATTTCAATATTTCACTTTATTGTCTTTCTTAAGGTTGTGACTTTCACTGGCTGTGATCTCTGCCATAGTGTTGACTTGAAGTGGTCATAGCAGTTTCAAAGGGGACACATGAAAACACTTTGTTGTTGTTAAGTATGGTGTTACATGTGGCTGGATTTGGTTTGCTAATAGTTTATTTAGGATTTTTAAATCTTGGCTCATGAATAAGAAAATCCTATAATTCTTATCGCTTTAAAAATAATATCCTTATAGGCTTTGGTTTCAAAGTTATGCTAGATTCTCAAAGCAAGTTAAGGAGTGCTTCCTTTTTACTACTTAAAAGAGTTTGTGGAAGACTATTGTTACTAGTTAGAATTCACTAGTAAAACCATCTGGGCTAAAGTATCTGTATTTTGTTTTGTTTTGCGTGTGTTTATTTTGGAAAGGTTCTTAATTACAATTTCTTCAGTAAGACTGCTCAGAGATTCTGTGTCTTTTTATGTCCCTTTGCTAGCTGTAGTTTACTAAGAGTGTGGTCATCTCATCCAGATTTCACGTTTGTTGAAAGTTGCTCATACTACACCCTCTTATCTTTTCATGCTCTGTAGAATGTGTGGTGATGTCTCCTTTTCCATTCCTGATACTTTGTGCCTACTTTCTTTCCTTTTCATAAATTAATGCTCTAGAAATTTATCCATTTTTATTAGTCTTTTTAATTTATTTTATTTATTTTTTGGCAGCACTGGAGTTTAACTCAGGGAATCAACCCTTGCTAGGCAGGTGCCGTACCACTTGAGCTTTATTAGTCTTTTAAATTACTCACTTTTGTTGTGTATCATTTAGTTACCCATAGGCTACTCAGAAACATATCCTTGATTTGCAAATATGTAGGGATTTTATTTTTCTGTAGAAAATAGTTTGGATTTCTAGTCAATCAAAAACCTATTGTGAATAATTTTCATCATTTGAAATTCACTGTTACTTGCTTTATTTTTGTAAAAGTTCAATTATGTTTCAGGGAAATTGTGCATTTGGTAGTCCTCGGCTATGGCACTGTGCATACCACCATTAGGTCAGTTTTACTTACTGTGATATTCAAATCTTCTACATCCTACTGTATTTACATCCCAGCTCATTTGGGCAGTTACTGAGAAAAGTATGCTAACACGCCCACTGGCTATGAGCTTCTCCATTTTTCTAGTTATAATAATTTTTACTTTTTGTATTTTCAGCCCACATTATGAAATGCTTGCAAATTCACAGTTATTTTATCTTCCTGGTAAATGAAATGTTTTGCCATGCTTAGGTGTACTGCTTCACCTCTAGTAATGGTTACTTCCTTAAAACCAGCCCTGATTACTAATTACTGTTTCTAATGTAGCTACATCAGTTTTATTTGGTTATTATATGAAAAGAATCGTAAGTTTGACCATCCTTTTAAACTTTTCTGTCTCTGTGTTTTAGATGTTAGTTTATCAATAGTGGATAGTTTTTATTTACTCAGTGTACCAATCTTTGTCTTTAAGGTACAGTTAAGATATTAAATATAAATGAATCTAAATCAGTGTCAGGCTTTTAGGTCAGTCACGTTATAGACAAAAATTTTACACATTCAAAAATAGTTCATTAACATCTGTAAGTTTAAGAAATGTATCTTCTCTGCTTTACATCTAAATATGCAGAAATTTATGAAACTTTCTCATTTCCTATGACTTGTTTGACTTCTGCATAATAAAATGAGATCCAAGGACTAAAATATCCAAAAACAGTATTTCTAATCTGAAGTTTGGGGGATTTGGCTTGCAACTCTTGTCTTTATTGCAATTTACCTACCTAATTCAAATAAATGTGGCATTAACAATACATCTCTTCATATAACCTTTTTGCAAAAAAATTTCATTTTTGATTTGCAGGGCTGTGACTCCCAAATGAGTATGTCAGAAATGTCCTGTAGTGAAAGTACATCCTCATGCCAGTCTCTTGAACATGGCTCAGTTCCAGAAATTCTCATTGGCCTCCTTTATAATGCCACAACTGGAAGATTATCAGCAGAAGTGATAAAAGGCAGCCACTTCAAAAACTTGGCAGCAAACAGACCACCCAGTGAGTGAAACAAATCTTTTTACTCTAATGTTTCTGCACTGATGGGACTTGACGATGGGGCTTCAACCCTGTCATTTTAGTCTTAACCAATCAAAATGAAATCGTGAATCATCAGCGAATCTGTTTCATATTTTCTATTTCCAGTCATTTGGGAAGTAGAAAAATTTGAAATTCAAAATATTAATTGTATGGTGACAGGAATCTTAATTTTTCATAGTGTCTTCAGAATAAATTTTCCTATCATAGATATTATCTCATGCCAGAAAAAAAGTTAGAGTTTTGAAGAGTGAATAATATTCACAAATATGAGCAGAAATGTGGACAGCCATTGTTGCTAACTGAAGATAAATGTTATGTTTTCTGTCTGCATGCAGTACTATGAACTAATGTATATACTCCTATTTTTCCCTTAACAATTTAAGAAGAAACTGTTTCTTCACATTTTCTTCTCCTTTAAGATTTATAACGGCTGGAGGTGTAGCTCAGTGGCAGCGCATGTGTTCAACATGTTCCAGACCCTAGATTCTATCCCCAGCACCACAAAAAAGAAAAAATGATAAACCACTATTAGCAGTCTTTTCTTAGATAGAATGAGTTTTACTTTGTCATACAAGCAGAATAAGAACAATTTGATGTTACCCTAGATTATTGGAAGAGAAAACTAACAAGGCATACTTCAGCCCTGACTTTTTCTACCTCTCTCTTTACTTCCATCCCCAGTTCGTGACAGTGAGGGAAGGTTACGAGAGTACAAAGAAATTGTCCCCCAATGTACCTCCAAAACTGTTGATATCTGTGAGATGCAAACTGAGAACAGAGTAACTTCTCTATATTCCCTAAAATTAAAGTTATTAATGCCCTGAACTAAAGCTTTGAAAGGAAATCTTGAATAATACACCAGCTTAAATTTTCTTAAAGATTTCCCAAAGACTTGCTTAATGTAGTCTTTTACTCCAAGTATCAAACAATTATTAAATGAGGGGAAACTGTCTCCATCCTTGAATTAAATTACCTTACTTATAAATGTCAAAAAAAATTCATTATTCAATTAAAGTGAAAAGTCATAAAAATATATTTAGCTTGCCCCAAGAAATGTTGGAATGCTTGCTTCTTATATATGTCATAAAATGCATCTGTCCCTGAATTAAAAATCTGAAGGCTAAATTCTAGTCATATTTCTACCCTTAGAAAAATGGCGCAACTTCCCTAAATCTGTTTCTTAATAGGTAAAATTAAGGTCACATCTCCCACAGGGTAATTGTGGGACTTAAATCTGACAAAGGTGCATAAAAGAAGGATAAAGTTAGGATTATCCACTTTCTCTCATTTCAAAGGAAAAATTCAATGGGAGGAAAGAAACCATTCCTAGAATAAACTGACTCACAAGTGTAGCTCAGTTATTTTTATTTATATACCCTGAGAATGCAGACTCAAATGTCCTGAAAGACAACCTGTAGAAGATGTGTAGATGAAAGACAGGAGTACAATGAGGCCATGACAACCACAAAAGTGCACACCTGGCCTTTAGACATCCAGATTCAAAGATGCTTTCACACTATACCAGATAAACAAATCATAAATTGGGGTCACATTGAGCCACAAGCTATCAGTTTGCCCCTATGCTTTAGCAAAGAGTTTAATAAACCTTTGATAAATACCCAACTGGAGATATTGAAAGAATAGCAGAATGTAATGATACTCAGAAATAGAGAAATGGGAATCAGCTAAAAAAGAGCCAGGGGCAGTGTTGGGTAGTAAACAGCCTAAGAAAGATCAGCTTTATTAATGGTGTTTGCTGGGAGGTAACTAGTAAGTAACTATAATTCAATTTTTTAAATAATTATGTAAAAGTTGAGTATTTATAAAGGAGACATAATATGAGATAATAGCCCTGCATATATACCTAGGTTCTAAGTTTTGAACTATGTTATAGACTGAATAATCCCAGTTCTATCCAAAGAAACAGTGGCAACATTCAAAAGCAAAAATTTTGATTGTTCTATTTTATTTTGCATAACTTAATTTTGCATTACATTGGGAGTAATAAAACTATTTGAAATATTAAATGTTGCATGAATAAACTTAAAATTTAGCATAATAATAATGACTTTGATTCATTCTTTTATAGTCTGATAATTTGCATGATTCTATGTTCAATGTGCTTTAGACCAAGAGGATATCATAAAGATGTCTCCCTTTAAAACAGTGTAATTTTTTGTTTAAGATTACACAGTAATGTTAGAACTTTTCATTCCATTAAATTTACCCAACAATCCTTTTGTCTAACCCTCTACCTGAATTAAAATGCTAAAGTTTTGTGTTTTTCCACTCCAGTGCAGTGTTTCCTCTTTAATTCTGAACTTTGACCCTCTTCCACCCAACGATTGACATCTGGTCATTATTTCTTTTACTGCTTTCCACCCCCTGTTGTCAGATGGACTGTTCTGTTGTCTAAAACACTTGATAGGTGGACAGGTTTATATAATCCGAGGTGAGTTCCTGTAGAGGCTAATTGGATGTTGTCTTTTCATGCAAAAACAAAATACCCTAAAACTTGCCAGCAGTGAAACTGTCCACCATGTTGGTTTCTGAAAAAATGCACATTTATTATCTGTTGTACTTTAAACAAAACTAACTTTAGAATTTATCTCTGATTATGGATGATGGTATTCAGAGTATATATAAAATGAGCAAAACTTTTTAAAATAAAAGTTTATTTTTCCATTTGTATTTTGGTTTATATAACAGAAACAGATATTTCATGAGAAATATTGTGATGGTCTTTAAAATAAATTGAAATTTTGATGTGAAGTGCACATGATGGATCAGCATGCTGAAGAACATTTGCATGCACTAAAAACCTGAAAACATGGTTTTTTAAAGAGATTTACCTCCCATATAATCAGACTCTGAAATACTATGTTTCACTTTGCACACTAACCATCCTATCGATTTTTTATAGTTCATGAAAATAGTTAAGATATAATACTTGAAATTTCACATTAAGTTGTGTCTAAAAGAAACCCTATATCATTTATTTTTATCTACCCAAAAAAAGCACATTAAATGTACTCTTGCATGAAACCAGGAGAAAGTTTTACTTGGTTTTGCTAAACGTTGAACTCTCAATGCATTTGGCTTTATTTTGGCCCTTAAATGTTTCAGATATATATTTAAAAACCACATCCATGCAGAGATTTTTTTGACATTTCACCCTAAGCTATTTCAGTGTCGTCTTTGCATTCTTGTCTTCCTCTTTTCCTCATTACCATTTGGCTTCATTTCTATTTATTCATTTCTTCTTACTCTCTGAAGACACAGTGGAATGCTTTACCGTGTTGTGGCTAATTGAGCTTGCTAAGTGTTTATTAATGCTATGATGTCCTGCTTAGTGATGCTAAATGGGATGGTAATGGGAAGGGAGGAAGTGGGAGGTCAAGCATGGGGGGAGATGGAGGAAGGATTGTGAGGTATACCTTTAAATTCTATTATGTAGAAAGAGTGAGGTGATGATATTACTACTACTCAAGTATTTTCAGCCTACTTAGTATTTTCTCTACTTGTCATATTTTATAAGCACCTACATCAAAATGGAATTAGTTAAATTTCCATTATACATGGTATACACCATATCCTTATAAATTATAAATAATCTTCTCAACACTTATTATAAGAAAATTGTTTTGGATTTGTTTCAAATGATATTTGTGGTATGTTGGTTTTTTTTTTTTTCCTTCAGATACATATGTTAAGTTAACTCTGCTGAATTCCATGGGTCAAGAGATGTCCAAATGCAAGACATCCATCCGCAGAGGGCAGCCAAATCCAGTATATAAGGAAACTTTTGTTTTTCAAGTGGCCCTGTTTCAACTTTCTGATGTGACACTTATACTGTCTGTGTATAACAAACGCAGCATGAAAAGAAAAGAGATGATAGGCTGGATTTCTTTAGGTCTGAACAGCTCTGGAGAAGAGGAACTCAATCACTGGACTGAAATGAAAGAGTCAAAAGGACAGCAAGTGTGCCGATGGCATGCCTTACTAGAGTCGTGATGACCAGGATAAATGGGCAACCCCAATCCAAGGCAGCATTATTTCTGATTACAACACTGCTGTTTTTCCCTGGTCACCATGAGAAGAGCTGGTCTTTGAAGAATCCTATTCAGCATTCTACCAAAATGCTTTAAATTCTAGGAAAGGACATCTAATACTGACATAAAAGATGAAAAGACATGTCTCTATCTCTGGTAGAGTTTGTTTGAGAAACTGAGAAACTTGTATCACTATTGTTAAACTAACAATCCTTCAGAAATTTAATAACACACTTTTGATTTCAAGTAATTTCATGGAAGATTATGTGATTTAAAAAAAATCAGAATTTTAATTGCACACTATTTTATTATCACCCTACATATTATGCATAAAACATGTTTTGTCTGTCCAGCCTCCAGTGTTTATAATTTAATGTGAGTAGTCGTCACAAGTCATATCTAATGGTGAAGAGTTTCTCTTACATGGAAATTGTTATATTTCAGATACTTTGTGCCCTCAGTCAGTTTCATTGTGCCTCAGTTTTCCATAGCATTAAGTCTAAGTGCAAGCAAGTAATCATTTTCACAAAGAGAATTTTTAAGATGTATTTTTTTTAAGTTTATTTCTTTATTTCCCTCTGCTTTTGCCTGATCCAAAGAGACCAAGTCACATACTGGTCCCTTGCAAGCCTTTTAGACAGGTTGTACTGTAGAACTACGTAACTTTCTGTTGAAAGCACTTCCTGTATTCTTGTATTCCAATGTAGGAAGCCAATAGAGCAGAACCTTACTTTATAGTTTCTTTCAATGTTTGACTCTTTATAACTGTGGTAATATGAAAAAACACCTTTCTTATAAATGGGAAAATACAGTAGATAAGCTGTTGAAAAGCAAAAACAATTCAAGTTAAAGAAAACTTTGATTATCTGCTCTGAGTATTTAGTAACCAACACTGCATTAAGCAGGTAGCGTTCGAAATAAGAAACTCTTCTCTCTCTAAATCTTTTCTCTTCCTTCGATTTTTATTGTGGTCTAAAGACTGTCCAGTTCTCAGTTTGACTCAGAACATCAAGCTAAACGTAGTTCTGAGACTCCTTATGATGTTTCTATTGTGACTAGATTCTATGGCATTTACAGATACCTTTCTTCAACGTGATGTCATTCTGTGCCTTTTATGTGAGTTAAAACTTGCTCACACAGCTTGGACATTGTATTTGCAAAATTAGGCCTTCGATTTTTATAAATGTAAAGATTCCTCAGAACAGTGTCACAAGATCTTTATTTCCTCTGAAGTATTAAAAAGTTGTATAATGTACTAATTTTTTTAAATGGCAAGGCAGTTTGATTTGTTTTTGTATGTAGGAACTCTTATTAATCAGGAATATTATAAGCCATTTTCTTTTAAATTTTGCTTCTTATCTAATATATAATTTTATGCATATACTTTATTAAATAGAGTATGTTTTGTATATATAAAAAGTATTTTCTTTTTTTTCTCTCATTTCTAGTTAAACACACTTTTTACCAATTACAAAAAAGCAGTACATCATTGTTCCTAGTCCCAACTAAGTACTATATATTATCGTAAGCTAGAGTTTGTTATTACCATAACAAAACCATGGAGATAGATATTATTACTTTAGCTTAACTGTACTGAAAGGCCTTAAAAGAAATCTGAAAAGACCATAAACTCCTGGGGTTTTTTAGTTTAAAAATAGGAAATTCTCTGCTTAAATACACACAAGTTATAAGAAAAAAGTACAAATGGACAACATAAGGTATAAGAAAGTATTACAGAACTGCATTAAAGGGAAAAGCCCATCCTTTTATTATTACATTAGTGAGCTTTTTCCAGAATTTTTAAATAAATGAGTTAGGTATTACATTAGTGAGCTTTTTCCAGAATTTTTAAATAAGTGAGTTAGGTTATAGAGTTAGAATGCTACTAAAATGGCAAAATATTTTGCAAGTATTTTTCAGCAACAGTATGGAAAAAAAATTGAAGTGGGATATAGATTTTACTGAAAAATTGGATTTAGGCATTTGATACTACTGGTATCTTTCCTGTTTTTTGACACAAATGTCTACATCGCTAACAACTGGTTATCTTCCTAATAAAAAACAGTTACCAGTCTCATTTGAAGCTCTAACAAAGCCTAATCAAATACACTACTAAGGCCAGTTTGGTGCTTTCACCATTAATCAGAAAAATCTACCTTTCTTCAGACTATGCCCTGAATTGCATATGTGCTTTGATATCTTTGGGCTTATCCTGTGTAAGTATCAAATCTTATTAGGGCCGAAAAATTGATCAACTTTTTTTTTAATTTCATGAAGGACCCTCCCTCCACCCTGCTTGCAAGTCCTCAAAGATTGATTATTTATATGTGTGTATCTACATACACAGACAGACCTACACATACACACATACACATGATATGTGCACATATATGTGTCTATAAAAGTGAAGGTGCGCTGGCTTTTTCAGATAACTGAATAGAAAGACATTTCTCAAACTTCTGAACTATTTTTCTCCTCTTATAATTACTAAATGCTATATTTGGTTTTGGGTGATGTTTGCCACCATTCTCCTCTATATATGGCAGAATGTACTTATATCTTTTCTGGTGGTTTGACTCAACTTAATTACTCTCCCAAAATTACCTATATTTTTTAGGAAAAGGATTAAGTAGGGATCAAGAAGCCCACTTTACTCTATTGAATCAAATGTAGAAGACAGTACTACTGCTTTTTTTGTGTGCTCATATTCACAAGAAAGCTTAAAGGCAAAATCTTATCCCAGTAAGATTACTTATCCCAGTAATTACAGCAAACAGGGACCCACTGTTAGGGAGCAGGTATTGACTGAGAAACTTGAGAAAGACAGCCACTTTCTTATTGTTCTGCTAAAATCCCCTAAGTTTTATAGTCAATGAAATAGTCCAGATACAGCAATTGACAGGTATTTATGGGAGCTCCCCAACCTGGAATCACAGTCTCCCAAATAAGCTGCAAAGTTTAGTTGTTTATTACTGCCTAGGAAACAAAGGGTATTTCAAATCAGTAAAGAATTTGTTTAATATAATATCATCCTGCCTTACAGATCCTTTCTTCTATAATCTTGTGGCTTCAATACTTTGCACATTTTGTTTGAAAACCATATGCATTCAGTAAATTCCCAATCATTTTGTATTTACTGATGAAAATAATAAATTGAATCAAATTTTTAAAAATGAGAAAATATCTAAACTATCCTGATTAATATGCATATGTTTACTGTTGGGACTGGTAGGGCAGTTTCATCCAACCCGTGCAGATGCCCAGGACTATGTATAAGGTCATTGACTTGTTACCATCTTCATTTTCATTTCATTTATCAAGTGAATCAAGAGTACAATCCATGACCTCAAAGGAAGAAGGCATCAATGGAAGAGAGTTCAGAGTGTTCTTCAAGACAAAGATGAGTGGGGAGATCAAGTGATAGTGAACCAAAAAGTAGGGTATTTGAAGTGTACATCTTAGATGGCATAAGAACAGTAGTCACAAATTGTTTTCAATGTCCTTGTTAAACATACAAAGAGAAATGATACAAATTCATGCAATCACCATTTGCTTCTATAGTCTAGACAATTGTCAGAGAAATTCACATTGATGGGTTTTTGTTTTGTTTTTAAAGCAATAGTAAAGTTTATTAGGGAAGGAATTTAGTATAACAGGATAAAAGTGGGGAGAAATAGGGGAAAAAGGAGAAACATTTCCTGCTTCCCATGCAAGAAATGGGAGCAGAGACTCCACATTTATGACTGTTATTCACAAGTTTTCAATTCTTACTTTCTTTCCATTTGATGTTCCCAGTTCATCTGTGACCTACACTGGGAGTGACCATCAATATCCTTATTACCAATAAATCTTAATATTGAATACAAGATTAGCCTTGTGGCAAAGCACTTTCTAAAGTTAACCTTAAAACATCATCTGCACCTTCCAAGATGTATAATGCTGATGCTAGTACCAGCCAAAATTTACTAAAGATTTAAGGTAATAATTTATCATTTGATTTGATTCCCACAATACTATGAAGTAAATAATTATCAACATTTTATCAATGAAGAAAGTGCAGCATGAAGTTAAGCATACTCTCCTAAGGCCATCCAGGAAGTAAGTCAGAGTAGAATGGAATTAGAACCCAGGTGTGATATATCACATTACAACCCACCCCCTGCATATTGCAGTTGTATCCCTCTTTATTAATTGCAAAAAAGGGAAAAAAAGAAAATTCCTTTCATTTATTGCTCAAATATTTCCCTTTAAGCCATCTTTATAATTGTAGATATAAGGCAGAGAAAGAGTCTGTTGTATGGGCTGGAAGCAGAGAAGGAAACTAAACAAAAAGTTTTATTTTATAATTTCAACTTCTTGGTAAGTAAAATTTTCTAAAATTGTGAAAAAGTCACTGCTGTGGCAATAGCTATACAAGATGTTTGCCATTTCATTGCCTGTCTGTATCTTCTATTGTCTTACATTTTAGGCCCCCTCTTCATGTTCTTCTTTATTATTCTAATTTATCAGTAAACCTAGTTTGTACTGTTTGATATTTGAGTTTTTCTGTTAGATGTCTAAGACTACTTTAAAAAGTAAAATCAATACCCTTCCATTTATTCCTTTAGCATGAGATCTTCCACCTGAGTATGTTTAAAAAGAATACCCAGTAGATGAGGTATATACACAGTGACTCCATATACACTAAAAATAAACTTCCCAATTTATCTATTTATTATTTTTAAATTACAAGTTTTATATTTTATAGCCAGATATTACTAGATTGCTTATTTTTATAAGTCTAAGCAGTTGATACTAAATATGACTATTGTTTAATGAGAAAATAGGAATTCTCCCTTATCTGTGAGATTTGTGGTTTTGTCTTTTCCACTTAGAACTGGTTGAAGGGCTGTGACTGTGAACCTTGCAAAAAAAAAAAAAGTCTTCATTTGCCATTTTCTGTGTGTGCTCACCTCCTCCAGATAGTCTGATTTTTAATGTTTTTTGCGGAGGAGGAGGGAGAAGAGGGTCAGGTTTGGGCAGGGTCTCACTAGGTTGTTCAGGCTGGGCTCAAATTCATGATTCTCCTGCCTCAGTCTCCCAAGTGCTGGGATTACAGGTGTGAACCACCATGCCTGGCTCAATTTTTAATAATTTTTTGTAACAGCCAAATCATTTATACCTTCAGGAGCAGATCTCATAGTCATTCCTCTTCACAGAACCCTCATTAATGTTGCTAATAGTGATTCATAAGCAGCAATGGAAGAAGAAGACCCAAAAGTATAAAGCATCAGTGTTTCAAAAACCCTGACATAGGATGGCACCTTCAACACCTAAATATAATTTCAACTATAATGGATCTGATGCCACATTAGAAATGAGATACTTTAGGTGGTTAGGTCATATCCTCGCCTTTTGATCTTCTCCCTTCCCTGTCTAGCTTCTCTTTATTTTAAACTTTGAGAGCTTTTGAAAACTGTGTTGTTGTTTTTTTATAATTTCATATGTTGCTTTAACCAGAAAATTTCAAAAAAACATAAAACCGAAGTATCATAGAGTTGTGGCAAGTTTTTTGGGAGAAGGGGCTTGGGTTGTCTTTTGAATAAATATTGAGAATA